TGTTTGGTGACTGATTCTCATTTCTTAAGACATGAATGTTTTCACTGTGCCTTTTATCCGCTTTCTACATATTGGACATCGTTGTAAACGTCCTGCGCAGGTTTCACAGCATACAAGGTGACCGCAAGGTAATAATGTGGTACTAACAGGCCTTTCCATACATATTTTACATGTCTGCATTTCTTTCAACTTTTCATTCTCTGCTTTCAATGACTGTGCATCTGAAGAATGTTGAAAAAAAATCTTCTTTACAATGGCTCAAATAAAAATGTACGTGATTTTTTTTCAAAGTTTTAAGCAATGTGTCACAAATTTTGAGCATAGACAATAACTTATCCTTGAGCTCAATTTATTAAATTTCAAGTAAAAACACTAAACATCTAAACATGGCAATGTCACAAAACCAATCACTATGTGAAATATGAAGACTTTGTGATGAATACTTTTCAAGATAATCAGCGCAAAACCATTTTGAAATTCAAGTCCCCTGTGACCTTGACCTTTGACCTAGTGACCCTAAAATCAATAGGGGTCATCTACTAGTATGTGAAATATGACGTCTTTGTGATGAATACTTTTGAAGATAATCAGCGGAAACCATTATGACATTTAAGACCCCTGTGACCTTGACCTTTAACCTAGTGACCCCAAAATCAATAGGGGTCATCTACCAGTTATGTCCAATCACTATGTGAAATATGAATATACACCCTCATCTTTGAAGGGGGGCATAAAAATAAATATCATATTTGACCTTGACAGTCTATGGGGTAAAAAAATCCCCAGAGAGGTCTCATACAAAATTCTTTCCTGACAATGGTAATTGGCTTGAATTGTTTTTTGATTTGTTTTTTAAATAACAGACACCTTGACCATGACACTAGGGGCCAAAAAGCAATCCAAAGCCTGGTCTTGCTATTTTGTCAAATCAGATTACAGCAAGTCAATCTGACCTGTATAGATATTGACAGGTAACCACCTATTAACATCCCTTGCCAATCATTCATCAATCTAATAATCTAGATTTTCAAAACTAATAAACTGATTAATAACGTGAAAATGGCAAGTAACCAGATAATATTTGTAAACATTTTAAGAATCAGCTCAGCATGAAATACAGACCTACATCTCCCCCTGTAGCACCAGCCGTGTCCGACTTTGGTTTCATTTTAGCCTTTTTCTTACCATTCTTCTTCTTGTTTGATTTGTTCGAAGGTTCATTGCTACTTGGATCTATGAAATAATTCGGAACTTTACAAACCAAATTGTTAATTGCATAAATTATAATGCTTGAACTTAAACTGCAACCTCTTTATCACTAGTATAGAACAAAAGTCACTTTTATGTCTACAAATACTCTGTAAAGTTCTTACTTGTGGTAAGAAAGGATGATTTTTTAACCACTATCTTGTATGACTGTATGATCTCAGTCTTATTTCTGCCAATTATTATGCTTGTTTTTACATCCTGTAAAATTCCTTTTTAGGTATGTCATGTCACCTATAACTTTTTCAAGTTGTTTGAGCAAATCAACGCAAAATAGACTAAATTACAGTTTAAACAATTTGGAGCACTTCACAAAAAAACATGACATGTCTTTCCTCTCATATTTTCTTTTAAATTTTAAATTCTTACAAATTTGTTGCAAAAGTAAGTAATTAATGATTAATTTATAATAAATTGTTTCATTTTCAAGTTTTATTACAGGTACTAGGTAACAATGATTAACAGAAGAGGGACAAACCTTTAGCTGTTTGCTTGGATTCATCACTGTCACCAGATGCTGCAGACTGCTTCTCTGTGTTTGATCCTTTAGCTTCATTAGAGCCCGAATTATTCTCAGAACCAGTCGCAGAAGAACTTCCTTCTGTTACACCTTCTGCTGTTGCTGAAGCAACAGATGGCTGGACCTTGGCTGTAGCAGATGTAGAAGTTGAGCTCACAGTAGATGTTGTAGTACCAGCACCCACTTGTGACGTGGAAGAAGAAGTGCTAGAAATAGTGTGTACATTGGGTGTACCTATGATGCTTACAGATTCTACTAGAGTAGATGGAGCATTGAACCCTGTATAAAATGTGGAGGACGACTCAAAACTGGTTCCTGCATTTAAAATTGAGGATGGAATGCTGGTACCAACAATAGAAGTGGGGACGCTGGTTCCCACAATGGTAGTTGGGATACCAAATCCTGTGTTCACAATAGAAGTAGGTATGCTGGTTCCCACAATAGTTGTAGGAGTACTGATAGTTGAGGAAGGAACACTGGTTCCCACAACAGTAGTTGCTACAGCGGATGTCTCACTAGGTTGAGGTCTCACTCCAAACTCTGCAAAATAAACATATTTTATGTGAAATTAACAATAAAATCATAATTTATAAAAAAAAAATCTTTTTTCAATCACAACATATTTCAAATATAATGCTTCCTTCAGCAAATTTTCACAAAACAAAACTTGCAAAGATTAAACAGGTAAATTGAAAAATTGTCAGTCAAATTATTGTTAAATTTTCTGCAGTGCATGATCAAAGTTTCATGGAAATGTGCGAATATGAAATGAAAATCTTCCTCACAAATTCAGAGTCTCTAGTGGGAATGGTACCAACACAAATCCAGAGTCTCCACTGAGATCAGCATGACACAAATTCCATCTCTAGTAAGATCAGCACTGACACAAATTCAGTCTTTGGTGAGATTGGCACAAACACAAATCCAGAGTCTCAAGGGAAAATGGCAATAACAAACATTTAGAGTCTCTAGTGTAATTTGCACCAACACGAAGTCAGTCTTTCTAACACAAATTCAGTCTCTAGTGGGATTGGCACCAACACAAACTCAAAGTCTCTATTGGAGCACCAACACAAATTCTGGTTCTCTAGTGGAGCATCAACACAAATTCAGTCTTATAGTGGAATCTGCAGCAGCACAAATTCAGTCTCTAGTGGGATTAACACTAACACAAATTCTGAGTCTCTACTGGAGCACCAACACAAATTCAGTCTTAAGTGGAGCCAACAACATTGAACAACTTGTTATTATATCGAAATATGCTAACCCTAACAAAACCAGTAGTAATAAAACATATACCTGTAGTCATTCCACTACCATTTTCTCTTTCTTCATTGTCCAGTAACCAGGTCAACACTTGTTCTGTGGTAGGAATTGACTGTCCTGTATGATAAACAATAAACATAATATTTTGGCCATTCAAAACCATTTTTTAACTTTTATCTTATATATGTGACATTCCGTAAAAATACCCACAAAAAGTAAGGTAAAATCAGTGATGTAAAAGATAAAGCCCCCATTTTTATTTGAGAACAAAAAAATTTAAAACTGAAAGAAATCAGAAATTATTTGACAATAGAATGGTCCTAGTTAAGCAGATAATTACTATTACAAACCTGTTTGCTGTCGTACAGCTATAACTGCCTGTCGAGTTCGTTCTGCACTATAACCCATGTCTTGTAGCTGAATTGCAGCCTCTATCGTCAATGGATCAGGGTCATTACGGCTCTCTAAAATTACAAAGTAAATACATGTACATAATGAACAACTAATTTGTTATGTTTTCATTTTATCTTATCAAAATGCTGTCTTTCAAGCAACAGAATCCCCTGTTTTACATATGGTAAGAAGAAATAGACAGTTAAATTTTTTTTATTATTGTAACAAATGTTCCAGCCCATAAAAAGGTGAAATGTGAATACATACCATCACGTCTTTGTGCTAGTTCTGTCTGCTGTCTCTGCTGTTCAGCCATCTGTTAAATAAATTGCTATCATTATTCTATAATTATGTTGAATAAAGTGCTACCATTATTCTATATGTTAAATAAATTGCTACCATTATTCTATATGTTGAATAAATTGCTACTATTATTCTTTATGTATACTGTTCAGTTCTATAGAATGGTTTAGAAACAGAATCAATTTGTCTTGTTCTTAATGAAGAAATATTTCCACACAGACCCCCTTGCCTAATTTCAAATTTGTACCTTACAATTTTGCTTTTCTAAAGGTACCTTTTCTATATTTACATACATCTGTCATCTAATGACATCTCCATCAAATAATTCACTGTTACACTAGACATGACTGGATTTTAATATATTTTACTGCTATAAACTTCAATACTACTGTGTTAAGAAAAATTTGTCCAATAATATACTAGTGCAAGTATGTGTATGATATTTACATGTTGTTCATGACGTCTCTGTACAGCAGCCACATATCTCTCCCCCTTTAGTTTGTTAATATATTCACAACGAGGAAACCATCTGGTATGCTCCAAAACGGGGTCATCTCCTATAACATGGTAACAGTGAAATTAAACAAACATAAAAACTAATAATTAGCTCAAATTAACAGTAAAGTCTTATAAAGAAGTTATCAAAATGATATTTAGGAATCAACAAAGTTAGAAGTAATCATGATCTCTCACTTTCAACAATTAGACCAAAGAGCAAAAGTTATCCCAAACAATCTTACTGGTGAAATTTTGTCCAACTTCAGACATTCCTTACTGAAACTTTCATATAGATTTCTTCATATAAATGCACACACAAACTAGAATGCTAGCAGCTCTATGTGTCAGATAACCAGGTAAGTATGAAGGTTATTGTTATTGGACAGGTACAAAAATCCCTTATAATCATAGTGAAAACATTATACTGACAACACAAGTAAAATATGGTAAAAATGTCATAATCTATAGATCACTACCTGGTTCCCAATTTCTTAAACCTCCGCCACAGCAGAAGCAACGTGTGAAATCTGCTACACCTGCAAGAAATAGTATGGGATGAAGATTTAGCATGGAACCCAGACTTATTGATGTATACAATTATTTCCTATGTCTGAAATGAGTTTAAAGGGTGAACTTTATTACCTATATTTTGTTTGAAGGAAACTTTACAATAAATATTGCATTTTTTTGTCAAACTGAGTCCATGATTTTTAAGTTCAAGGTAGGCTTGACTGCACATTACAAAATATTTGGAATATGTTGATAAAGGGGACTGTTATACAGTTTGAGTATATAGGTATAACATTATATTCACATGATAGATAAGTTGTACAGACTCAACTTTATAAAACTTTTTTCTGAGTTCTGTCTTAAATCTCATGATTTTCATTGGTCAGTATACATTCTTTGGCAATTTCTGACCAATCAAATGCCTGAGATCTGAGACTGAGCTTAGAGACTTTGTTTATAACCTCAGACCCGGATGTCCGCCTATCAACCAAATAATTTTATAAAACTTTAAAGTTGATCATAATAAAGGTTATTATAGCTTAAAACCCAATCCTGAAAAGGACATTTTACAATAATGAAAATTACCTACCCACAAAGAAGAAGCCAGCCTCTGACATTTGTCTGGGAGTCTGATCTAGATAATCTGGCCATCCTTGGTAAGTGTTAACTCGTGACTCTACATTCACATAGTCTGGATGTTTTGGGTTATCTACAACAACAGTGATGTTAGGATCAGTTCTACCCCCTGCGCCTGGTGCTGGGTTAGACTGCCTTGCTCCAGTGGCTGCTTCCACTGCTGGGGTAGGGACATTACTCTGTTGTAAATTTTCCTTTGCTCTAGAGACTGGTGTTAAGCCACTAGAATTCAAACCTGTAAAATAAGTATTGAAAACATGAACATGACCTTTTATATTTTTAAAACTTAAGCATTCCAATAATAGAAGAAGGAGAATTTCAGTAGTTTACAATTTTATCTGATAAATTCATATTTTTACATTATTCTACTCTTTTTTAAAAACAGGATGTGTGTTAATCAATAAACACACAAAAAATTTATTCATGATATCAAATTATGGTCTAGACTTACATTTATCATAAAGTCAGTTTTTTTCTTTTTTCAATACATTATTAAAGAATGAACAACGTAATCAGGCAAACGTGTTAAAATAAATTTTTACTAAAACCACAAATCAATATCAACACAATCTATCCTCTTTTAATAAAGTGGCATTCAAGAACATTCCTGAATGTTTAAACAATATGTAAAACCATAACATTACATCAGAGCCTTTAAATAACACAAATGTATAAAATACTTTAAGTACATAGAAATTAACTCAGATTATTTTATCAATGTGGTAACAGTTACATTCTTTTGTAATGACTTCTAGTCACTCCTATGGAAGATCTATATTTGGCAACTAAATAATTCAGTAATTGTCAAGACTTTCTTAATTATAATAATTAATGCTATGAAGTAACAGATTGAGGCTTACCAGCAAAAGCCCCAGCACCAACAGGACCCCCTAAAATGGAAGACGGTCGAATTCCGGGAATCTGGCTTGAAGTACTTCTTGAAACATCTCTTCCAGGATCAACCCCAACTTAAACAAATGATTTAATATTTTAATTTTCAAAATAATCTGAATCAATTTCATATACATAAATAAATTACAGGTATATTTGAAAGAAATACTTTTCCTCTAAAGTTACAAATATTTGAACTACCATTTACTTGTACAATATTAATGGATAATGCAATAACTACTTCAAATATTTGCAAGTTATTTTAACATATGTTGTCATAGGCCTAGTATTACAGACATGTCATATTACATCATAAATGTTTTTAGATCATCATGATATCATAGCTTAGGTATTCCAAAAAAAACATTTTTGTTTTGGTTGCACGAACACACTATAGGTCACTATGGTATTTAGAGGAAGACCTTGAATGCCCCTCTGTACATTATTTCAGGCACAAACCGGCACCTGAGTAGAGCCACTGACATTCCTTAAGCTAGCTGGATAGCTTCTCACATGTAGAATATGGACACAGGTGCAGCTCGCACCTACAGCAGTGAAGTGGTTTGAAGTCAACAACCTTAACCACTCAGCCACAGACACCTCTCAAACTTCAAAATCTCTCACAACTTTATCATAGTAAATGGATTATACTATCATGAGAACTAATTATTCATGTAAGAATCTACAACACCATTATAATATAATTATAAATCATGTGTGATTATTCCATTCAAATAAGGAACATGACCATCGCTTAACATACATACAATTTAATATCTAAACACTGACTATATTAATATGACATTAACATGTGTATAAAAAAATATGTTTTACCATTACTTCTTGCACCAGAGGCAACATTATTCCTTGTAGGTGCCATAATAGATGCATATGAGTGTCCAGTACGGCCAAGGGCTCGTAAGGTACGAGGCTGGGACAAGGCCAGCATTGATCGATCACTCTCTCTATCTTCTGTAGGTTGTTGTGAGATACTTTCTGCTCCCTTTATGTTTAATTATTCAACAATACTATTTAATAATAATGTCACTATAAATCTTACTAGTAACCATTGACTTACTGAAACATTTTTGTATATGTATCCAACTATTTCCTACATTCTTTTAAAGTAAATTAAGTCACAACATATATGTCTTTTAATGCTTTATCAACTGGACTACATGTATTTCCATACTATAGCATTCAGAGATTTAAGAAAAATAAAAGAAAGTGTCTTTTACCAACTACATTGTTTTTAATTTACAACAGTTTTATTAACCTTACTGCTTTTTAATTATTTCAGGATCCACCTTTTAATGTTTCTTGTTGTCTAACTACTCAACTACTTGACAACAGCATGTACATGGCTAGCCAAGTATACAAGACGGTCAATCCTAGCATATATGGTATTTTAATTATTCTAAGAGACAATTTTTTTTTTAGACAAATTGACTGGCAGATAGTCATTAAGCAAACCTATGCCAATAAGAAGCACCTGTAAATGCTTTATCATAAGTACTGGTATATCATATTCATAATAATGAAACTTAATCTTACTCAATTAAAAACAAGAGTTACTCTTAATGAAAATTACTGCTACAGGAATCAAGTGATTTTTCACCTTAGTATATTATTTGACCAACTCTAATTACAATCAAGGTGACCGAACTTCAAGTCCTGTATAGGCTTTAATTTTCATTCAGTAATACATACTCAGATTAACATTATTAATGGAAATTTATTTACACTTACATGAGAAGAAGCCTGACCAATCTGAAGACTTCTCAGAGCTTCATTGACTGCTGCAGTAGCAACAGAAGAAGCTGAAGATGTTACTGTTACTGTAGGAGTAGAGCCTGATGTTGTTGTTGGTGGGGCTGCTGACGATCCTGTAACGTTGTCTTCGTAAGTTATTGATACATTTACAGACTCTTGTCCACTGTTCTCATGAAAGGGACAATTTGGTGACTGACGTCTATGTTCTGAACTAACATTCGCAAACATTTCCCAATTAGAGTTACGAGCTTCACAAAGGAAACACCTTGTAGAAGTTGGTCCTTCAGTATGATCATGATAGAATCCATTCCTAGCAAGAACAATGGCATTTCCATTTCCTTCATAATTGTGGAAAGTTGAAAGTCTAAGCCATTCATACTGCATTCGCTCTTGTGTTGTTGGAGTTAAACCATTACGGAATCTATCAAAATAAGATCCTAACCCAAATGCTGGAAAACTTCTAGGAGGTAAGTAAATTTCTCTCACAACTTGCTTGGCAATCTGTCTGTTGATATTAAAACACCAAGATTGATCTTGTAGTTTTCTGCCCTTTAATATTTTACCATTCTGAATTTCATTCTTTTTCTTTTTAATACGTTCATTCTTTTTCTTTCTAAAACGTGTCAACTTTTCCTGCTGCTCGAAGCTGCTTATTGGGCCAGAAGATGATATTCCAGAATCGATGTTTGTTTGCTTCAATGTAAATAATTTGTTTTCATTATTTTCAAAGTTGCCAGACTCATCTACTTCATTAAATGGTGACCTTATCTTCTTATGGTGTTTGCATTTATTGTTTTTAATGTCAAGATCAATTTTGCAATAGGCACAGGAATTTTTGCCAAAATACTCAGAATCTTCTAAACTGGAATCAGATAGGTCTCCGTTTACCATTCCTTTGAAATGGCAATCTTTTTGCCTCTTCTGCTGCACTTCCTTTCTTCTTGACAAGACATTTGATTTATTTGAAGACTTCTCTCTGTCTTTCATAAGCTTATTGGCATTTACTTTGCTTTTTTCCATAACTGTCCTTGAATCTTGTTCTTGTCCGAAAGAGGAAGAATGATGAGATTTAATTCTTTCAAGGGGTGTTCTCTCTCCATCATAGCTCAATCTAGCACAATCAATGCTAGTATCTTCTTTAACTTTGGGTTCTCTATTCTCAGTGTTGCAGCTGACTTCCTCCTCTATAGAATGTTCATTTTTACCACCTTGAACAAATGATTTTCTGCATACACTTTTGTGTGTTAATGCTTCACATAAAGAAAGATTATGCACATTTTCAAATTCACAAATATCTGTAGATACAGTCTGCAAAAACTCCAATGATTTCAAAACAACTGGACTTAGAGTTCTAAAATCTACATAAACTAAAAAAGAAATATCTCTTAAATCTATACATGTATTTCCATTTTCTAAAACCATGTAAAATATTTCAACCATATCAAGTGTTGCAACATCATCCAAACAAAAAGTATCACTCGTATTTTCTTCCATCTCAGGTATGTAATTAATAACAACTGCCTTGTCATCAATTTTCTTGTCTTCATTAGTAGACCCAAATTCTCGTGCATTTTCAGCAATATTGTCAACTTTACATGTAGACCCAAATTTTATAATGCATTCATCTATATCATCAACTTCACGTGCAGATTCAAGTTCTTTAGTTTTTCCATCAATATTGCCAATATCACATAAGCTAAGCTTTTCAACAGTTTTATCTTTTTCAAATGTAGATTTCTGATCAAAGCAATTATCCAATTGATGTATCAAACAATTGTCCGTTTCACTAGCTGGCAACAATTTCTCATTATAATGCATGTCAGTTGTTTGTAATATGTCACTCGGACTGGAACTGGGCCAATAATCTGAAGTACACAGTGAAAGTGTATCACTAGGATATACTGAATCTGATATTGTAACACCTGTAACTGATTGTCTAAAATCAAAGGATTTTCTAGTTGTCAAATGAGGAGTAATAAGATAAAATGGTAAATCACTACTTTCTATCCCATCATCAACATTTGTTGATTCTGAATCTTTCAGCAGGCTTGATATCCCACAACTGGTACAAATGCTTGTTGATCTGTCACAGTCTTTTTCTATTTTTACAGATCTATTCATAGTGGAATGATAGCTATCAGAATAATTTTCATATTCAGTGCTGTTGTCAAATTGCCTTTTTACCTGATTTTTGCAATGTTTGACACTTCTGGTGACATCCTTTCTGAAGGAGTCATCATTACATGTAATTGGTTCAATAGATTCTGTTGATTTCAAATCTTTCATTGATTGCACATTTTCAGTGCCACCAATTTCATTGTGAACTATGTCATTTTCAGTCCGTAATGTCTCAAATTTGTCCATTTCAGTTGGATTGTCCATTTCCAAATGTGAGTTGTTTCTTTTGTAATACAATTCTGTTTCCTTTAAACTTGATATAAATGGCTGGATATTCTGATTTTTCCTTTCATAACTTGCATATTGCTGTTTTTCAACTTCTATAGATCTGTTATCAGAGGATAATACTCCTTCACTTTTTTCTGAACTGTTTCTAGACAAGAAACTCTCATCAGCTGAATCCTTTTGAATTTCAACGTCATTTTCACTGCATTCAACAGTAACTTCATTATCGTCATCTGTGTCAACATTTTTCTTCTTTTTCTTAAACACATGGAAGAAATCCTTCTTCACTTTTCTTTTAATATTTATAATACCACTACTTTCCAAATTTATTGAGTTATTATTACCATTTATTGTTATACTGTATGTTGTAATAGGTGTAACCACACACATCTCGTTTTTCTCCAAACTACCAAATTCCAGACTTTTGCTGCCAGATCCTCCCATGGTTTTGATTAACCTGTAAAACAAGAAAGTGTTTATTAAACATGAATGCCCGCGACTCAAGATTCTTGTCAGTGAAGACTAATAAAATACTGGACGCAGTAAGATAGAACTAGAAATGTGTCCATAGGACACGGGTGCCCCCACCGCGCCGCTGTTCTGTCAATCTTATGACTCTAGGTCAAATATTTTTTGAAAACTAAAAATCTTTTACTAAGTAAAGGGCAAGAACTTTACAAATACTGAATAAATCCACAAGCAAACCCCAAGGTGCATAAGTGCACATGCTGACCAACATTCTTGTAAACTTTCAGGCCTACAAGTAAAATACTTTTTGAGCTATGCATGAACAAGTTGAAAATTGTAAATTTATACTACTGTAAGTCAAAGGCAATAATTCTAACAAAACTGAAAAAAATCCACATGCAAAGTCCCAAGTGTACAGCTTCACAGTGATGTGAATCATTATTCCTGTAATTTAGTGATGTTGATCATTATTCCTGTAAAGTTCATTGATTCTAACTCAAGCACTCAAGGAACAAATAAAAACATAATGAAATGGTTTTTACTAAGTCAAGGGCAATAACTCTACAAATACTGGATAAATCCACAAGCGAAAACCCAAGTGCAAAACTACATATGCTGAGCAACCTTCCCGTAAGGTTTATTGACTCTATGTCAAATCCTTTTTGAGTTACATGCGACAGAAGTTGAAAATTGCAAAAATTTTCTAAGTCAAGGGCAATAACTCTAAAAATACTAAAAATATCCAGACAAAAATACCCAGGTGTACAACTATACATGCTGATCAACATTCCTGTAAAGTTTCATGACTCTAGGTCAAACACTTTTTGAGTTACATGCGACACAAGTTGAAAATTGCAAAATTTTACCAAGTCAAGAACAATAACTCTAAAAATACTATATATCCAGACGAAAATACCCAGGTGCACAACTACACATGCTGATCAACATTCGGATTACATTCCTGTAAAGTTTCATGACTCTAGGTCAAATACTTTTTGAGTTACTTGCGACACAAAAGAGAACGGATGGACAGACAAGGGTAAATCTAAATGACCGCCACTAAAATGGGGGCACAAAAATCAACGCAAAATAGTGATTTTTGGCAATTTTGAGATGTCCCCTCATTGCCATGGTAACAGGAAATTTAAGCCTTGGCATGTTGTAACAAAGGCAATGGTCCAGTCAACATTTGTGTCAAGTTTGATTAGTATTGAAGCAGTTTTTATAGTTTTATAGCAATTTGAACTTGTAACGGGAGACTTTTCAATGAAAACAGCCATTTTTCACAAAATGCTCATGAAGTAATGGATTAAGATACCATACACATTGTTTGTTCATACAAAATGACTAAAAAAGACCATGGTCATAAAGGAAGACAGACAAAACCCCACACATCAAAACCCCACTCCTCAAAATATTATAGCGTGGACAAAACCCCACATATGAATTATATAGAGTGGACAATACCCCACACCTTTGGCTTTACAGGGTGGACATAACCCTGATGTGGTCTTAACTAAGAGTTTTTACTGTATAATTGTAAATTCTAACACGACCTGCATTTTTCTGTATTGAACATAGAAGAACCGAAAGTGTTTGTTATTATGCTATAAAATCACTGTTTGACGTTCTATATTTAGACATGTGACATAATCATTATACACATGACGTAACCACTAAAAATGTGTCGCGCTGACAATAAGTACGGAAACAAATCAGGCGCAATTTAGCTAATTATAATGTGCAGCAGTATTTATTTGTTGATGTCATGTTAGAATCGAAATAATATATCCAAATCGGTGATTTTATTGCTTGATAACGCCCTCGTGATATAATTCCCCGCATCCGAACTCCAAACAGTGATGTTATTGAGCAATAAAATCAGTTTGGGATATATTATTTCTTAAACAAAAGTTAAACTGTATCATGTAAAATAAAGGCACCCTTTTTAATTCTGAAAGTAATCAATGTTAATAAAACGGTTATCATAATGACTGGCTGAATTAACCTGTAATTGATAAATAACATTTAATTTAATCAATTTTGGGCAAGGTAATCAATTACATGACGATTACAGTGCAATCATGCAATCAATTAATCAAAGCACAGAAGGTGCTGAATTTGTTTGAGTCTCAGAATGTCAGAAAGGTGAAGGTTGTGAGATTATAAACCAATTTGTTTTTGTAAAGTGCCACCAATGCTTTCCATTGTTTTAACTGTAGTAAATTGGCTATAACACCAATTGCAACACTGATAATCAATTTAATTTTTATTTGACTTAAAAAAATGTGTTGCCATAACTGGGATTTGAACTCCAGACCTCTCGATTCATAAGCGAGCGTGCAAACCCCTCGGCCACGGTGAAGTTATATGTCATCAGCCTGATGAAAACCATATAATTCTAAATTAGGGTTTGTAACTCTTATTATTTTGACGCTAAACCTGTTGTTTAACACAGATGTAAATAATCATGGACCTTACTGTAAGCATGTATATCTATAAAAATGAAACAATATTAGAAATCTTCGACCATTCGGGAACTACTTTGCTTGAAAATTAATGCGCCTGTCATTTGACAATCTTTACGCATTGATCTCCCTGAATTTTTCGGCGTTAGTGTACATGTAAAGGGAAGCAACCGCTTCAAAAAAGTGGACTACTTTAGGCATTTGCAATTAACAGCATTAGACTCTGAAATTTCGCTACCATTATTTGTTTGGTCTGACGACCCAAACAAATAAATCAAAGCACAGAAGGCGCTGAATTTGTTTGGGTCTCAGAATGTAATAAAGGTACAGGTTGTGAGATTATATGTATAGTGCCACCAATGCTTTCCAGCGTTTTAATTATAGTAAATTGGCTATAAGACTAATTGCAACACTGATATTCAATCCAATGTTTATTTGACTTAAACAATTTGAGTTGCCTTTACTGGGATTTGAACTCCAGACCTCTCGCTTCCTAAGCGAGCGCGAAAACCCTTCAGCCACGGTGAATTTATATGTGAACAGCCTGAAGAAAACCATATTATTCTAAATTAGGACTTGTAACGACTTTAACTGTTGTTTAACACAGATGTAAATAATCCTGGAGCTTACTATAAGCATGTATATTTATAAAGGGCTGCTAGTTCTGTGGTATTTTGTGATCTTTGCAATCTAAATCATACTGTATATCTGTATGTATTTTCCTGTATAAATTTATTTTTATGCATTATAATTCATTTTGCAAGGCACCAAAGTTTGATACATACGGAATTCTGCATAACTATGGTTGCATCAAAATATCATTTATGTTCATTTTTTAAGACAGCTACACTTTATCCTTGCATATCATGGCTACTTCCTTAACAAAGACACTTCTCGCCCAAACAGTCCGACATGTACAATCTATATATTCCACTACTCGGTTTGGGTAGTATTTGGTAATCGACATCGCTAAAAATATTATTTTCATTCATAAAATCATATTCATCCGCGTAATTTGTGACTGTGCATTTATTGACAATTCTATAAGCCAACGCTATTTTCAAACTTTGAATGCGTTGTAATTTGTTGGATACTTGTAACAAAATAAAAATATTTCTTTCTTTTAAATCGCTAGTTTTAAGCTGTTCTGAGAACTACTTGTTGTTAGGTTTGTCGTAAACTTCTGTGTCAGAGATTGAATGTCCGCTTTGTATTTCCTTATTTTCGATCAGAAAATACAATAAAACAATATTAGAAATCTTCGACCATTCGGGAATTATTTTGCTTGAAAATTAATGTGCCTTTCTTTGACCATCTTTACGCAGTGATCTCCCCTGAATTTTTCGGCGTTAGTGTACATATAAAGGGAAGTCACCGCTTCAAAAAAGTGGACTACTTTCGCATTTGCAATTAACAACATTAGACTCTGAAATTTCGCTACCATTATTTGTTTGGTCTGACGACCCAAACAAATAAAAATCAATGATTACAATTAATGATTACCCCCTTTCTGGACACAAGATGAAAATTGCAAATAACTCAACAAATACAGTCTAACATGCCCATGGGACCGCGTGTATTAAGCGACTAATGCGTACACTGTTAATTCCCCCCCCCCCATCATTTTCTCTCTATATCTTTAATGTAATAAGCGACTTTTCCTCAACGCGACCAGCAACCACCTATAAGTCTGCTAATTCAGATCATTCTTTTCATCAATCGACCACTTTTACCCGTCAAGTATTTTTAGAGAAAGCCAGCTCGTGATGTCAAAGTGTCAACAATCAAAACACAATATACAAATGTGTGAAAAACTCCATTTCCCTAACTGTTTTAGCATATGCAAATGAAGTTAAGTATACGCATGACGGTATTATCCAGTTATAAAAATTTGATTGTAATGAATTGATGAACTTGATCAGCGTTAAATTAATCACTATATGCCTTACAATTAGATGTAGTTTATTGAAAAATGCACCACACTAAGTAGATTTTTCATGTTGGGGACCAAAAAAACCAGTACAGTAGCGTAAAAAATCTGAAAAAATATCAAACATGTATGTATTGGATCAAAACTGTTTTGTCAATAAATATCAGAAATTTATTTTTTATTTTAGCATCTATGAGCGTAATAATTATCAAAAATTTATATAAATGAAGTTAAAAATGTCTTTCACTGCCAAGAAAAGTGTCATGCATAAATTTTGACTTTTTTCTCATGCTCTGTCTTGTTACGTGAACATTTTTTATCTTTCCCTTGTGCGGTTGTTTAATACACATTTGACTGTACTGAATAAATCCACAAGCAAACCCCCAGGTGCACAACTACACATGGACGCACTGACTGACAAATTTTTATCACAAAAGCTCAACTTGAGCACTTTATGCTCATGTGAGCTAAAAGCATTTCAATGGCCAAAGGAAAGACATTGAAATTTAACAACATCATTTTCGATGCATTCAACTTACTTTCTATTTCCTCCTGCTTTTAGTCGGGCTTGGAACCGGCAGTGGCGCAGTTACTTGTTGAAAGTCAATTTTGATTTTTTAAATCTGAAAGCAAAAACACTATATTTAAATTATGGAAAATTTATGGATAAGTGAAAATCCAGAAAACATACACTGTACTAGTGCATGAAAACAACTCTAACTAGAGCTATCATTTTCATATCCTGACCTTCATTAAACTTGGCTGATTTCCGTAGCTCTCATAAAAAACTCTGTAAACACTGTGTTTCGGACTGCATTTCTGCTACTGTTCAGAACGTTGAATGAAGAAATCTAATGAAAGTTTCATTCATCCATTGTTAAATTAACACCCAAAATATAGTTATAGGTAACTATTCTGTGCCTGACCAACCTTGACCTTTTATTGTCAAACTTCCGGTTGGAGAAAAAGGTAAACAATATGTTTGTAGGTAATTTTATATCCCTTCTTTTTCTCTCGACATTACTTTATATGGTGAATGTACCAGATAATTTCATCAGAACCAACATTACCCTACATCCTAGGCCCTCCATCCTGCCAAACGCAATGTCACCGTCAAAAATCTCCTCATGTGGACGTATTGTAGGCAACCTGAAACTTAGGTATAGACGCCACCAAATTCCCACCAAAATTCATAGAAGTAAGACCTTATCACATCTAGTCATACTACTGCTGTCTATTTCATGCGATGTTGAAGGGAACCCTGGCCCGGATTATCCTTGTGGAAGCTGTGGGTCTGAGGTCAAAGATTCTGACCATGCTGTTGAATGTGATAATTGCTGTATGTGGTTCCACATACAATGCCAAGGGTTGAACAGCACATGGTACCAAGATCTAACCAATAGCAATACATCCTTTGCATGGACATGTACAATATGTGATGAATCAAATCTTTCGAATATTTCAAGCATCCTCTCAATCTCATCACATAACAGCTTCTCACCTCTAGTAGATGAAAATACAGATACACCTAGCTCTATAAATCTCAAAAAACCAAAACAAAAACAAATTGATTATGTATCCAAACTGAAAATTCTATGCATAAACTGCCAGTCAATAGTCAACAAAAAACATGAATTTCAAAATTTATTAATAGATCAAAACCCAGATATTGTTACAGCCACAGAGTCATGGCTAAATAAAGAACACTATAACAGTGAAATTTTCCCACCTGAACTTGGCTACACAGTTTTTCGCCGTGACAGACTCAAAGGTAAGGGCGGTGGAGTGTTTATCCTTGTTAAAAACAACCTCCTACCAAGTGAACAACCAAAACTGAACACCGATTGTGAAATAATATGGATAAAAATAGAAATCAAAGGTAGTTAGTCACTCTTTCTGGCATCTTATTACAAACCACACAAACTTGATATGAATAGTATTTTAGAATTTGAAAAATCCCTTGAACTTGTGCGTAACTTAAAAGGTACAAAGTTAATCCTTGGTGATTTTAACCTCCCAAAATTAAATTGGGACTCTGAACATACACCATATCTTAAAGAAGGCTTAAACACAAGTCCTGTGTATGAAAAATTCCTGAACATCATTGATGATCATAACCTTGTATAAATGGTCAATGAAAGTACACGAAATGACAATATTCTTGATCTATTGCTCATTTCAAACCACACTCTTGTTAACAACGTCAAGGTCATACCTGGCATATCAGATTATGACATCATATCCACAGAAATATCTTCTAGGCCTACCCTCCTCAAACAAAAGCCTCGTACTTGCACCTTGTATAAAAAGGCAAATTGGACTGAGTTGAAAACTTTCATTAAAACCTCAACATCTGAAATACTTCAAAAAGCTGAATCTTTGTCTGTTGAAGAACTTTGGTCGCAGTTCAAACACACACTTGAGGATGGCATATCAAAATTCATACCCACTAAAAGAATTACAGCTAAACCATCTTTGCCCTGGATAACAAAATCCATTAAAAAATTAATTCATAAAAGAGACCAGCTCTATAAAAATATTAAAAAACCAAAAACAAATAAAATAAAATCTGATCATGATCAATGGCTAAAATTTAAAAATTTGAAATCGCAAATAAAAGCTAGAAATAAACAATCATATGAGTCTTACTTAGAAAACATCCTGAACCTTGCAGATGATGATGATGAAACTAATACACAAAGTAAAGTCTGTACCAAAACACTATACACACTTATAAAAAACTCTAAACAAGATTCACAAAGTGTGTCTCCATTAAAAGATCAAAAGTCTGGTTCTCTCAAAATTAGTAACACTGAAAAAGCAAACATTCTTAACAAACAATTTCAATCAGTTTTCTCACCAATTATACCACTTACACTTAAAGATCAATGTATACAAAAACTGAGACTCATGGATCCCAGAAAGTATTGTCAGTACCCACAAATGAATGACATCATCATCAGTAGGGCAGGTGTACTAAAGCTCCTCGCCAACCTCAATGCCTGTCTACAAAAAAGGTGATACAAGTGATCCAGCAAACTATCGCCCAATTTCCCTTACATGCATCCTCTGTAAAACACTCGAACACATAGTTGCCTCTCAACTATCCTCTCACTTTACCACCCACAACATACTCTTTGATCTTCAGCATGGATTCAGAGAAAGACGATCATGTGAGACACAACTCATTGAACTTACTGATTACCTTGTGAACAACCTTTCAAATGGCAAACAAACAGATCTCATACTTCTTGACTTCTCCAAAGCTTTCGATAAAGTAAACCATCTTAAACTCTCAGATACCCTTCAAGAACATGGTGTTTGTCCTCAAATTCTAAACTGGATACAGTCATTCCTTATTGGCCGTAGACAGACTGTAGTTGTGGATAGTGACTGCTCATCTGAAGTCCCAGTTACCTCTGGAGTGCCCCAAGGCTCTGTCCTAGGGCCCCTCTGTTTCCTTCTATATATCAACAAGTTACCATCTTCTGTCCTCAAATCCCAAGTCAGATTATTTGCAGACAACACTGCTGTATACCTAACCATCAATTCCTCCTCAGACTCCCCAACTCTCCAACATGATCTAGACAATATGGTTCTGTTGGAGAAGCAGTGGGACATGGAGTTTAAACCTTCAAAATGTCAAGTCATCCATATCACCAAAAAATAAAACCATAATTAAACACAAATATATGCTCCATGGCCAAGTCCTAGAGTCTGTTACAAATGCTAAATATCTCGGACTAGATCTATCTGCTGACCTTAAATTTAATACACATATATCTCGAATAACTTCCAATGCAAACAGATCCCTTGGCTTTATTAAAAGAAATGTCATTACTAAAAATGAGAAAGTGAAAGAACTAGCACACAAGTCCCTGGTACGCCCACAGGTTGAATATGCCTCAACTATTTGGTCTCCTTACACTAAAACCAATATTGACAAAGTTGAGATGATCCAGAGACGTGCAATAAGATGGGTTAAAAGGGATTACTCCCCTCACTCTAGTGTCACAGCCATGCAGGAAGAACTGGGCTGGCAATCCCTTGAACATCGCAGACTGGACTGTAGACTGATAATGTTTTATAAGATATACCATAACCTAGTTGCAATTAATCTCCCAACTTATGTTCAAACCCCACATAGATTAACCAGACATATGCATCCCTTATCCCTACACCAAATACAGGTATCCTCCGACTACCATAAGTACTCTTTTCTTCCCTCATAGCATTATACTATGGAATAAACTTCCTAGTAACATTGCCACCCTGCCCAACCTGAGTCAGTTCAAACAGGCAGTGGTGGGTTTGCAGTACTAGTCTTACTCCCAGTGTTTTTAAACTATTTTATCTCTTATCATCTTGTTTCACTATTAACATTTTAACCATGACTAGCATACATTTTCAGTCTCACCTTCCAAGCATGTCAATGTTTGGACTTTTCTTTTTTAGCTTTTCTTTTCACCTTTTACTAACAATCCGACGTGCACTAAATTCCTGCCTTTAACACTCGTAAGAGGGGTTGGCAGTATCCAGAGATAGATAGATCACTGAAGGTGATTAATAACCCCACCAGCAATTTTGACTTTTAGAAAATTAAAGAGTCTGAAGAAAAATTTGAACGCGACCTAAAGTAAATGAAGTATCAACTGTGTACAAACAATTATTTCAATTAATTGTAATCCCAACCAGGATCTTCATATAAACTTGCTATACACCAAGTTTGATTACAATATCTCATTCCTAACTCTAGTTATTGTCTGGAAACCATTTTTCTTTATTTAGCAACAGTGACCTTGACCCCAGGGGGTCGAAATGCAATACCAGCCGGGGTCTTCATAAAAGCTTGCTATACTGTATACACCAAGTTTGAATACAATATCTCATTCCTAACTTTTGTTATTGTCTGGCAACAAGTTTCAATAACAAAGAGGAAAAGAACTGGCAGAACAGCTTAAATTGTGTATAACATTGGATATAACTCATCCTGTCATGGACTTGGAGCAACTTAATTGTTTTTTTGTTTTTTTTAAATGAAATCTTAAAAGGTACCTGTAATGCAAACAAATGAAACTTGTTTTTGATATTTTAAAAACCTTTAGTTTGAAATTAGCAAAATACTTGTAAATCCTAGCAAAATATACAACAATCAATTCAATGTTTTTACAAGAAGTGCAAGTTGGAATAGGCAAAATTTTTTTTTTTTTTTTAAATGACATGAAAGTAAATATTTTTCAAAAGTCATCCAAACCAGATATAACTTCAATAGAGCCTTATCATTATCTGTAAATTATATAAGATCTTCAGATGTGTGGGCTCTATTTTAGTGAACTCTTGGCTACCTTGGAAGACATTTTCCCAGTTCCTACTTAACATTGTAATTTTCAAATCAAACATGATTGTTGTCAGTGAAGCTTAATTTTCTTATTCTGTTTCTGTCTCTGTAAAATACATTATGTTCATAGTAACAGTCCTACTGTAATAAACACTTTGAAGCATCACAGCAATATTTCAAACTGGCTCAAAAAAAGCTGTATCTGAAAAAGGTAATATCTATGTGATCTAAAAAAAAAAAAAAAAAAAAAAAATGAAATCAGAGTGTTGCACTCCCTTGTTAATC